AAAAAAATTTTGTCCCCCTTTAAGTCATGAAGATAGTCTCCTATGGTTTTTTTTTTTTTTTTAGAAATTTAGGTTTCTCATTTTTATGTTCAGGTTGATAACCCATTTGTATTAATTTTTTGTATATGGTATGAGGAAAGGAATTTTCCTTTTTTCCCCATATGGCTATCAAGTTGTTCCAGCACCATGTGCTGAAAAGACTTTGCTTTCCCACTTGTACATTTGTTCAAATATTTAGGGGTCTGTTTTTGGACTCTGTTCTGTCCCACTGATCTTTTTGTCTCTCCTTACCCCGATGTTGCACTGTTTTGATTACTATAAATCTTAAGTAGTCTAAGTCTTCCAGCTTTGCTGATCTTTTTCAAGATTATTTTGGCTATCCTAGGTTCTTTGTATTTTTATATACATTTTAAAATTGGCACATCAGTTTCCACATACACACAAAAAAGAGTGCTGGGATCTTGACTGGGTGGCGTTGAATGTCTAGATCAGTTTGGTGAGAATTGATGTCAGAACATTTGAAGCCATAAAGCTGGTTGTCAGGCACTGTGCAGGGTCTGACACTTTTCCCTGCTTGCAAGCTGACAAGTTAGCCAGCCGCCGTTTCGCAGATGCTGGCTGGAGACACGAGCCTCCTGGGGCAGACACTGAGCACCTCAAGGGGCACGAGCCTCATGTTCACATCAGTTCTGCGTGTCCTCCTGAGTCCCACAGGAGTGACGTGGAGTGGCCCAGGTGAATGCTGCACATGCAGTAGGTGTATGGCAGGGCTGAGGAACCCTGAGCTTAGGGAGCTCCGGTATTTTAGAATGGGTTTCCGGGGGCCAGTCCCTGTGGCCGAGTGATTAAGTTCATGCGCTCCGCTGCAGCGGCCCAGGGTTTCGCTGGTTCGAGTCCTGGGCGCGGACACGGCACCGCTCATCGGGCCATGCTGGGGCGGCGTCCCATATGCTGCGGCTAGAGGGACCCACAACTAAAAAAAGGTACACAGCTATGTACTGGTGGGCTTTGGGGAGAAAAAGGAAAAATCGAAAAAAAAAAATCTCCTATTAGAATCAGTTTCCAGCAAAGCTGTCTGACCCCTCTCCTGGAGAAACACGTTATCTTTATTATACTGGACGGCAAACACACCTGCTGTCTGCTTCCGAGGGAGGTGCTCTCTCTGTCTTCTAAGCAGTTTGCTCCACAAATGCTCTTGGAAAGATAATCCAGAACGAAAGCTGCCAGCCCTTTGTTTGTAACATGGGCAGAAATGGGAGAGACCCAATGGAGAACTATCTTCCAGCAATGGTACATCTCCCTGTGAAGGTCTTCTAAAGTTTCTCTCAGCAAAGTTTGGTTTTGCAGAGTAAGGTCAGATACATCTTTCATTAAATTTATCCCTTAGTATTTTATGGGTTTTTTTTTTTTTTTTTTTTTGAGGAAGACTGGCCCTGAGCTAACATCCATGCCCATCTTCCTCTACTTTATATGTAGGACACCTACCACAGCATGGCTTGCCAAGCGGTGCCATGTCTGCACCTGGCATCCGAGCCTTTGAACCCTGGGCCGCCGAAGCGGAATGTGCGCACTTAACCGCTGCACCACCGGGATGGCCCGCTTATGGTTTTTTTTTGATGCTATTATAAACGTAATTTTAAAAATTGTAAGTTCATTTTCCAATCATTTGTTGCTAGAAGATAAACATATATTTGATTTTCATATGCTGATCATCTATCCTACAACCTTGCTAAACCCATTGATTAGTTCTAGTAGTTTTTTTGTAGATTCCTTATGATTTTCTACATAACACAGTCATGTCATCTGTGTTTAAAGATAGTTTCACTTCTTCGTCTCCAACCTTTTATTGTTTTCACCTGTCTGATTGCACTGCCTGGGGCCTTTGGTACGGTGTTGAATCCTGAGGGGAGAAGCACTTGCTGTTTGGCCGTTATGCCTGATGTTGGCTACAGGCTTGCGATGATGCCCGTCATCACTTCTTCTGGTGGAGGGGCTTCCCTCTTGTTGCTTGTTAGGCCTTGCTGTCTTCCTCCTGACTCCAATGGGAATGCCTCTCACAGCTGCTGCCAGGTCTGCTGGGGCTGCTGTTCTGACAGGGACGCCTCTTTCTTTTTTTGTTTTTGATTAATTTATTTAAACTAAAAACAAAAAAAAATAGTTCACCTGTTTCTCCCACATGCCAACCCCCACCTCTTGCAACCACTAGCCTGTTCTCTGTGTCTGTGAGCTTGGTGGTTGTTTTTTTAGACTCCACATATAAGAGAGATCATATGGTTTTTGTCTTTCTCTGTCAGATTTATTTCATTAGCATAATGTCTTTGAGGTCAGTCCATGTTGTCACAAATGGCAAGGTTTCATTCTTTTTTATGATTGAATAATATTCCATTGTATGTATACACCACAATTTCTTTATCCATTCATCCATCAGTGAACACTTAGCTTGTTTCCGTATCTTGGCTATTGTGAATAAGGCTGCAGTGAACATAGGGGTGCAGACATTTTTTCAAATTAGTCTTTTCATTTCCTCAGATAAATACCCAGAAGTGGAATAGCTGGATCGTATGATAGTTCTATTTTTAATTTTTTGAGGAACTTCTATACTGTTTTCTATAATGGCTGCACCAGTTTACATTCCCACCAGCAGTGTACAAGGGTTCTCTTTTATCCACATCTTCTCCAACACCTGTTATCTCTTGTCTTTTTGCTAATAGCCATTCTAACAGGTGTGAGGTGATATCTCATGGTGGTTTTGATTTGCATTTCCCTGACGATTAAGTGATGTTGAACATCTTTTCATGTACCTTTTGGCCTTGAAAAATGTCTTCCTTGGAAAAATGTCTATTCGAATCTTCTGCCCACTTTTTAATTGGATTTTTTCTCTTTTTGCTACTGAGTTTATGAGATCTTTATATATTTTGGATATTTTCCCCTTATCACATTTGTGATTTGTAATCATTTTCTCCCATTCAGTAGGTTGCCTTTTCATTTTGTTGTTTCCTTTGCTGTGCAGAGCTTTTTAGTCTGGTGTAGTCTCACTTCTTTATTTTTGCTTTTGTTGCTTTTGCTTTTGGTGTCTGAGTCAAAACATCGTCACCAAGACTGATGTCATGAAGCTTTTCTCCTGTGTTTTCTTCTAGGAGTTTTATGGTTTCAGGTGTTACATTCAAGTCTTTGATCCACTTTGAATTAATTTTTGTATGTGGTGTAAGATAGTGGTCCACTTTTATTCTGTTTGCAGGTGGCTGTTCAGTTTTCCCATTTATTGAAGAAACTGTCCTTTCCCCATTGTATGTTCTTGGCTCCTTTGTCATAAATTAATTGACCATATATGTGTGGATTTATTTTTGGGCTCTCCTTTCTATTCCGTTGATCTCTGTGTCTGGTTTTTTTTTTTTTAATGTGTCTGTTTTTGTGCCAATACCATACTTTTTTTGTTACTATAGCTGTGTAATACAGTTTGAAATCAGGGAACGTGATGCCTCCAGCTTTATCCTTTCTCAAGATTACTTTGGCTATTTGGGATCTTTTGAGGTTTCATATACATTTTAGGGTTGTGTTTTCTGTTTCTGTGAATAGTACCATTGGAATTTTGATAAGGATTGCACTGAATCTGTATATTTCTTTGGGTAGTATAGATATTTAACAATATTAATTCTTCCAATCCATGAGCATGGAATGTCTTTCCATTTATTTGTGAGGTCTTCAATTCTTTCATCAATGTTTTACAGTTTTCAGTGTACATACAGGTCTTTTACCTCCTTTGTTAAATTTATTCCTAGGTATTTTATTCTTTTTGATGCAGTTTAAATGGGATTGTTAGGGCTGGCCCCATGGCCGAGTAGTTAAGTTTGCACACTCCGCTTTGGCGGCCCAGGGTTTCGCCAGTTCGAGTCCTGGGTGTAGACGTGGCACCACTCATCAAGCCATGCTGAGGTGGCGTCCAACATGCCACAACTAGAAGGACCCACAACTAAAAATACACAACTATGTACCGGGGGTCTTTGGGGAGAAAAAGGAAAAAAAATCTTTAGAAAAATAAAAAGTAAATGGGATTGTTTACTTGATTTCTCCGATAGTTCATTATTAGCGTAAAAAATGCACTAGATTTTTGTGTATTGATTTTATATCCTTCGACTTTGTGGAATTTGTTTATTAGTTCTAACAGTTTTTTGATGGAGTCTTTAGGATTTTCTATATATAATACTGTGTCATCTGCAACTAGTGATAGCTGCACTTCTTCCTTCCTGATTTGGATGCGTTTTATTTCTTTTTCTTGCCTAATTGCTGTGCCTAGGACTTCCACTACTATGCTGAATAAAAGTAGTGAGAGTGGGCATCTTGGTCTTATTCCTGATCTTAGAGGAAAAGCGTTCAGCTTTTCACTGTTGAGTGTAATGTTAGCCTTTATTGTGTTGAGGTATGTTTCCTCTCTACTCCCTTTATTGAGAGTTTTTATCATAAATGAATGTTGAATTTTTTCAAATGCTTTTTCTGTGTGTTGAGATGATCATGTGATTTTTATCCTTCGTTTTGTTCATGTGGTATATCACATTGATTGATTGGTTTGCAGATGTTGAACCATCCTTGCATCCCTGAAATAGGGGACAGCTCTTTCATATTGGGCTCCTTCACCTGGTGAGAGTTGTACTTCTAACGCTCGTGGATTAAGAAAATTCATTCTGAAAAGTCGGATCTGAATTCAACTGAACTTAAAGCGAATGTTTGTTTTTTTATATTAATCCAAATGTCAATTTAAATTTGAAAAGTTCTTCATATATTTGCTTTGATAACCTCTTACAACAGTTCTGGTGACATGATGTTTTAAATTTTACAAAAATATTAATTAGTGTAATGATAACATGACATTCAAGGGAAATTTTAAAGTTTGTCTGTAATCCGCTTCTCATCTGTTGGAGGAGGGTGCTGAGAAGTGGCAGCAGGGGCCTCACCCCTGGTCTCCAGTGGCCCAGGGACCCCCTTCTCCACCCTCGTCCTTGCAGGGAGACGACTCCGAGGGAAAGCGTTCTACAACGTGGGTGAGAAAGTGTACTGCCAAGAGGACTTCCTGGTGAGTCAAAGCTGTGCCCTGGGTCGGGGCAGGGGTGGGGAGCCTCCTTCTGATTCACATGGACGCCTGAGGCCAGGAGGCAGGTGCTGGCTGGGTGGTGAGTGCCCCTTTGTCATGTAACATCCTGGATCCTGTGTCCCCTCCCAGTACTCCGGGTTCCAGCAAACGGCTGACAAGTGTAGCGTGTGTGGACACCTCATCATGGAGATGGTGAGAACCTCCCCAGGCTTCTGGAGCCCCTCTGACATGGGCAGAGTCTCAGGGCCCCCCCGCTCTTTCGCCTGTTGCAGATCTGCTGGGGTCTCAGAGCCAGGGCCTCTTCCGGGGGCTGTGCTGAGCCTTCCACCTGCACTGACCCCTTGGTGCCTCCCACCCCCAGATCCTGCAGGCCCTCGGGAAGTCCTACCACCCAGGCTGCTTCCGGTGCTCCGTGTGCAATGAGTGCCTGGATGGGGTGCCCTTCACTGTGGATGTGGAGAACAACATCTACTGTGTCAGAGACTATCACACGTGAGTAGCTGGCGCTGTGGAACAGGTGTGACTCCCCCTGTTTCTTCTGCCTCCCTGGAAGCATTCTCCTAGCCTGCCTGCCTGTGCTCTCCATTCTTGGCCTTTTCACTTCCGGCCTCACCTTGTGCTCTCAGTGGTTGGGGTGGGCACAAATCTCTGCCTCGAGTCCTCTCTCTCTGGTGGTTCAGCCACCAGCCATGTCTTTGTTCTCCTTGCCTTTGCTCACATGCTCCCCTCCTCCTAGTGGTGGGGACTCTCCTGGCTGCCCTGCCTAGCAGTCCCTCTGCTCCCAGGGCCAGGCCAGGCCCCTTCTGTCTGGGGTGGGGGCTTGGAGTCTCTGCAGTGTCTTTTACTTGCCTGCCTGATACCCATATTGGCAGCCAATCCATTCTCCCTTGCTGTGGCTCCAGGCTCAGCCCTCAGAGCTCTGGGCTTGTGCCGCTGCCTTGCATGGGGTTGATGTTGGCACAGGTCCCTGATACACAGCCTGGAGGCAGGCTTTGCAGGGGTCTCAGCTAACGGTGGCCCAGACTTGGACATTAAGGGGCAAGGAGTTCACAGGAAGCACGAGGGAGAGGGCAGGGCAGAACCTGAAGCCGTCCTGGAGGAAGTGATGGGGTGGAGGTGAATTGGGGAGCCACATAAAAGGCCAGTGCCGAGAAGGGATGGCAAAGGCTGCTGCCACCCCAGCGTGTCCATACGAGGAAAGGGGCCTGATGCTCGGGCCGTGTCACAAAGCTACTGTGGGTGGACCTGTCCTTGTGCCCTTGGTGTCTGGTCACTCAGCTGGTCACTTCTGGTTTCCTTTATTCCTCCAGGGTTTTTGCACCAAAATGTGCCTCCTGTGCCCGTCCTATCCTCCCTGCACAGGTAGGAACCACTCCCCTGGAGATGATCAGGTGCCTGGCCCTGCCCGGGTTGGCCCCAGGTCTTGGGCCCCAACGGGAGGGATGAGCAGGTGCTCCTGCCCCATACCCCTCAGGGCCAAGGGGTGTGTGTTGTGCCCATGCCCGCAGGGTGCCAGTGTCCCTGCATGAGTGAGAGGAAATGGTGGCCCCTGCTGCTTGGCTGCCCCACTGCCGCCCTCCACTCCATTGCCCATGGATGTGAGCACTGCTCCCTGGCTCTGTTAGCCCTGCAGGCTGAGGAGGCGGGGGAGCAGATGAGAGAAGGGTGTGGTCTGTGCAGGAGACATCCCTGGGAGGTGCAGCTCCCTCAGGTACTGGGTCTTCCGCACGTGCTGGTTCTGTCCCAAGCTGCTGGGCCTGGGGAAGCAGCCCTGGCAGGGGTCTTTCCTGACTCCAAAGAGCCAGGAAGAACATGTGCACACACACTGACACCACGGGATGGCTCTCGTGGGCACATGTGTCTGCTGTCGACTGCATCTGTGAGAGGCTGGCCTCGGGCATGCGCACATCCTTTTGTGTGCACCTAGCCATGCCTCTTCTGGCCCCCTGGAAGCACTGATGACAGTGCCCACATGGGCGTGGAGGCAATCTGCCATAAGAGCATGTTGTGTCGGTGTGTCCCCCACGCACAGCACCCCTCAAAACCCAGCTTGCTTATCATGTGTGAACCCCGCCTCTTCCCCCAGGGCTGTGAGACCACCATCCGTGTGGTGTCCATGGACAGAGACTACCACGTGGAATGTTATCACTGTGAGGTGAGCCTGGGCCCTCCCGGGAGGCTGGTGGCTGGGGCAGACCCCTCCCCACAGGTCTCCTTCTCTCTGGGTGTTCCCCGGGCCCACCTCCTCTTTCACAGTCCTGCCCCATTCTACCTGTCTTCCCCAGGGAGCCCTCTCCCTTCTCCCCAAGATATGTTTTCTCTCAGCCCCTCTTTCTCATGCAAACAAGTGTGTCTCGAGGATTTATAGTATATGGGATGCTGAGGAGGTCAAGAAAAGAAGGACGGTCCCTACTGTCCTGGGAGAGACAAATACTCAGGCAGTATCTACACAGGGGAGTAGGAGCAAGGGGAGTTGTCAGAGCACATAGGAGGCCTTGGAAAATCAGGGAAGGCTCTCTGGAGGAGGTAACAGCCAAACTAAGATTTGAAAGCTGACTAAGAGTCAGCCAAGGAGGCAGTGAGAAGGGCGTTTCCAGGCAGTGGAAGCAGAATGTGCTTAGATGCAAAGGTGGTGAGTGTGTTGTTTTGTCTCACTGGAAGTTGGCAGGAGCTGGAACAGAAAGCCACATGCGCTAAGGAGTGTGGACTTATCCTGAGGGCAGTGGAGAATGATCAAAAAGGGATGGTGCAATAGCATTTGGATTTTAGAAAGGGCACTCACCGCCATGCCGAGAATGAAAGGAGAAAAACGGGGTGGGGCCGGCGGTCCCTGAGAGGCTGCTGGGGAGGAGCTGTAGTCCTGGGCTCAGGGACTGAGTTGAGTGAGTCCAGGGCTGAGCTGAGTGAGGGTTAGGGCAGTAAAAGGGACTGGATCTGGTCAGCGACGGGACGTGGAAGTGTGGGGGTTGGGAGGTGTCCACTCGGACCCTAGGAGAGTAGGGGCGGGAGGAGGAGGGGTAAGACGCTCTCATTTTCAGTAGCTGCAGACCCCCGAATGGAGATGTCCAGGCGGCAGCGAGATGTGCTGGCGTTCAGACACTGGCTGTAGGGGGAGGAAGTGGGTGTCACTGGCATGTCTACCTCTCTCCTTGCTGCCATCCTGCGCCCCGGTTTCTAGTCGCCTTCACCTTCCTGAATTCTCAATTCGAGGGCAGCCTGGAAAATCTCTGTAGGTAGTGACTTGGGGCGCTGTAGGGCTCACTGCATCAGTTCCCTTCTCTCAGAGGTCATCCACCTGCCCTGCCCATTGTTCAGAGTCCGAGAATCATTGTTTCATGTCTCTTGCCCAGTTTTTCATTGTTACAGGTAGGACGGACGGGAAATCCAGTCCTTCTTACCATCATGGCCAGAAGCTGGAGCCCCGGTGGGGGCATGTAGGCGGCTGTGGAAGCCGGGGGAGGAAAGGAGATCCTCCAGGGAGGGCAATAGGGGAAGGAGCAGGGCTCAGGACAGCCCCAGGAGCACCAAAATTCAGGGGATGTGTGGAGGCAAAGCAGCTACAGGGGGAGGCCGAGAATGAGGGAACAGAGAGGAAGGAGAAACCAGAAAGAGCCCCAAGGAGGAGCAGGAGGGCGTGGCAGCGAGAACTGGCCAGTAGGAAGCAGGGTCCATTTGGAGCCAGGTTGTCTTTTTTGGGGCAGGTGGCCTGATGGGAGCAGGAGTCCTGCTGGGGGAGCAGGAGCAGGCATGGGGTGCACAGTGGCCTTGGCTCCGCTCCGACAGGGGCATCCTGCTCTGCTGTCTCGCTCTGCTGTCCTGGGGACCGTGCCGTCCCCTTGGGATCGCTGAGCACAGTCCTTAGGGAAAGGATGCTGAGAGTCGAAGAGCAGGTCAAGCTGCTGGTTCACAGCGGAGTCCCGGGGCTGCTGTCCCCAGGGGGCCCCTTGGATGGGAACTAGGGTCTCCAAGCCCCCTTGTTCCTTCTCTCTGGCGTGTGGTGGTTAGTGGCAGGGCCCAGTCAGAGGGCTGTGGCAGGACAGGGAGGACACCTGGACGGGGTGACTTGGGACGTGATGCTCCGTCACAGCAGCCCAGCTCTGTGACTGGTGTGGCTCGGGCAGGTGTTGTTCTCAGGGCCTTTGGGTGACAAGCGTCAAAGCTTCAAGGCCAGAGTCTAGCCCTGGATGCAGTGAGAGGGTGACCTGGAGGGGCCTCCTTGGGGCTGGGGGAGCAAAAGGAAGGAGAAAGGCATCCCGCTGGTCTCACCCAGTACCCCTGTCTCTGGCAGCACACCCTCCATGGCCACCCCCACTTCCTGCAGGTTATTCACAGAGTCATATAGGAATCATGTAACTTGTTAGAGGAAATTACCCTGTAAGATAGACCGCAGCAAGGGACATAAGTAGAACTCCTTGTTTACTTGATGTCTCTAATTCTTCTCTTCCATTGTCTCTTAAGGCCACTGGGGTCAGGCATCTGACGCCCCCCCACCCCAGGTCACCAGTGACCCCCATGTGAGGAGATCCGGGAGATGCTTCTCAGTGTCGCTGTCCTAAGTCAGCAACCTTCCACACGCTGGGCACTCCCCCCTTGATGCTCTCTTCACTGTGCCATTAGGACCGTCCCTTTTTAGGTTTCCTCACTTGTATTTTCCCCATAAATCTCCTTGACTCGCATCCTCTTCTTCCCGCCTCTTCGTGTTGGAGCCTTCCAGGCTCAGCTCTTTGTCTTCTTCTCTTTTCTGGTTATCTGCGCTCCCTCGGAGACTAACCTGTTGTTTCCTTGTTAAAAACTGTCAACTGTTTACGCTGATGCCCCATTTGCTGCCTGGTCCTCTGTCCACTTCCCGCCTCCTCACTGTCTCTCTGGATGTCTGAGAGGCACCTCCAGTCCGGGGTGTCCAGCTCTGGGCTCCTGATGCCCCGCCCAAAAGTAAAAGCCAGAGGCCCTGGGAAGTTGCTCGCAGCCCTGCAGCTCTGCCCCGCGTTGCTCTGACTGCCCTGCCAGGCTCCCCGTTGCTGACCTTACTGCTGGGGCTGTGTTCTTCCCTAGGACTGCGGGCTGCAGCTGAGCGGGGAGGACGGACGCCGCTGCTACCCCCTGGAGGGCCACCTGCTGTGCCGACGCTGCCACCTGCGGCGCCTCCGGCCAGGCCCGCTTCCCTCCCCTGCCGTGCACGTCACTGAGCTCTGAGCAGGGCAGGGAGCCCGACCTTGGGGGGGCGGGGACGGGGGTGTGGGTGCGAGTGTGAGTGTGAGTGTGGGCGGGATGGGTGGCCCAGGTCAGAGTCCGAGCTTGCGTGCTCCCACCCTGGCCCCACCCCACTTGCCCCCAGCTGCTGTCCGAGGGGCCGGCCCCGCGGCGAAGCTGCTTCTATTTATTCACCGTCTGTGCCTCCTCAAGCCGTGTCCCTTTTTCCCAGCTCTGCCTGCCCCCCACCCCACCCCAGCACTGGCCTCTGTTGCGGGACCGCCTGTGCCCCGCGGCCTCAGGGGCAGGCTCCCAGACCGGCTGTGGGTCACGGGGCTGGAGACGGCCTCTACCGCGTGCAGGGGCACGGGGTACACGGCCACCTTCCCCCGACTGGCCTCAGAGTGGTAGCCAGTTTCCCTGTTTGGAAGGGACCTGGGACCCCCTCCCTGAGCTCCCCAGGGAAGGGGGTGGTCTGGCAGGGGACTTGGCGGAGGGCAGGTGTGCAGTGTGCCGGCTGGTGGGTGGGAAGGCTGCTTTGTGTGGATGGGGTCACGGGAGGGTCGAGGAGTCACACCTTTGGGGAGAGGGGCCTGCAAAGGAGCCCTGCCTTGGCCATGGTGGTCGCTGTGGGATTTGGCCACCTGACATCTGATGGGTGTGTTAAGCCACTATCCCGCCTCATCTCCCCATCCCTGGCTCCTGGCTGGGGGACCATCCCCCTCCAACCACCCCATCCTTCACCTCGGGAGGAGAACCTTCTGACGCGGAATTCCAGCACAGGTCTCGTCCACAGATGCCGTGTGGGCACCCCCTGCATGCAGGGGGAGCACCTGGGCGGGAAAGCCCTGTCTATCAGGCCCCACAACAAAAGCAGAGGATTTGACTTAAATTAAGTTTTTCCTTCAAGAATATTTTCGTTTTCTTTAAAAGAATATAGTTTTCTTCTAAAACCTTGGCCCACAGTTGTTATTTCTTAGAAAAATGAGAAGTGCACAGATGTCCAATTGTATATCATACATCTAGTTTTCAGGTGGTAAAAACATTGTAGTTTAACTATTTTTGTATAAATTCCTCTAAAATCTCAAACTATGTGTCTGCCTTTCAGACTTGAGCGTAGTGTGGGGTTCTGTCTGTGTCTTGAGAGCCGTGACCTAAGGAAATGTGGTTTGGGGAGATGGAGATGCACCTTTTCCTCTGAGTACACGTCAGCCTGGGGAGGCATGCACTTCACTGCCGCTCTTGCTGGGTTTGCACTTGGGGGGGTCAAGACACCCCTCATCTGGATGGACCATCGCAGTGGTTCTCATGGGGTGTTGTGACATAAGTCCATCTGGTCCCGTGGGCACCTGAAGCGCCCCCTGTTGGTTCCTGCTCTTGTCCTCTCTTCTCCCTGCTGTTAGCTGTGGGCTTTTTTTGCTTGTAGGGTCGTCCATCTGGGGGAGCCAGTGGTAGGAACCAGAGTGTTGTCTGGGAGCGCCCACTGGGGTGCATAGGACGGCTGGTGGCAGCCAGCGAGGCTGGCTGGGCTGAGGCCTGGGGTTGGGGGTTCCCCTGGTGGGCTGAGGAAGCAAGAACGTGGGGAGTTTGGTGATTGTTAACCAAGTATTTAAATATGGAGGTCCTGAAAAGGTGGGTGTGTGTCTCCCGAGAAGGGGACTTTGACAGGATCAGGGTGCCTTCTTGGAGGAGGTGATCCTAGTGGGGCAGGAGGGTGAATTCCAGGAATGGAGGCTGTTTTCTGGCTTTGTCTTCCTCTTGAGCTGGGCTGCTTGGCCTTCTAGCCAATTATCACAAAGCTTCTGATTGCCCTCTGATTTGTTTCTGATGTCGAAGCCGCTTTGCCCTTGGTTTCTCCTGGTTGTGAATTCAGCCCTTCTCTTTTCTCTTCGTTTGTGGCTGTCTTGGAGGTGGCCCCTGACCTTCCAGCCATGGCGGTCACCATTGCTTTTCATACCTGCTCCATCCTGGTTACCAGGCTTCCCTGCCCAGCTGGATGGAGTTGTCACAGCTTGGAGCCCCCTTCACATTTATGTTCCATCCTTGTTAGAAGCCCGAGACAGGGGAGTGCATGGCCCTGGGGGGCAGCGGCCTCATCTCTGGCTGCTCTTTGCCCTTTCTCTCTGGGCTCCAGGGTCCCAAATTGCCTTCTGTCGGGACTGGTGACCACCACCATCCCTCTTACCACAGAGCCTTTGCACTCCCTGCCCAATGCTTTAACTCCTGGTTACATCTTTCAGATCTCAGCTTCGTGAATAAACCAGGCTCCCAGTTATTAGACTTCACTGAACACCCAGAATTTTTGGTGGGCCCCTGCTCCCCAAGCTCATTTTCCAAAAGCGGCATCTTCCAGGCCATTTTCAGGAGTTACGCTGACCTGGTGGTTTCTGAGACTGAGGGAGCAGTGTGAGAGCCAGGCTGTGAGCCAGGTGGATTGTCCATGACCCTCCGACCCCAGGTGCCAGACTCACCTGTCTCTTGGATACCTCCCCTGATGTCAGCACCTGGGGACCCCTCCACCTGCACTTTCATGTCAAGAGAATAAGAGTGCTTACTGTAAGGATGTCCATCTCCTCACGAGATGGCGAGCTCTCCGCGCTGGGGGTGTCTGGCTGGTTCACTCTTGTCTGCATGGTCTCTGGCATATGGTTGGAACTACAGCCTGAGCCAGACCCTGTCCTGGCCTTCAGGGTTCTGAGTTAGGGTCTCCCCCTTTCCCCTTGGTTTGAAAGTGCAAGTGCAGCCTGAGTTGCCCAGTGAAGGAGCCACAGGTGGCCTATAGAGGCCCAAGAACACGAGTATGCACAGATACTATACACACTGCACATCGAGTGTGTGCCTGTGAGCCCCAGGCAGTACACGTGTGTGTGCCTTTGTGCAAGGCCCTCGGTTCAGTGCTCATGCCTAGAGGCCAGCCCTCCAGGCCACTGCTCTGTGTGTGTGTGTGTGTGTGTGTGTGTGAGATGTTGGCAGGGATGGTGGGCTCATGGAGGCTTCTGGGGGTGGGTCTTGGGCATGGGGTGCCCTCAGGGTCCTAGGCTAGGAGGGGATGGTGCTGAGCCCTCCTGCTCAGTACTCCTGGCTTCTCTTGGGCCAGGACACGGGTGAGAGCTTGCTGAACTGCAGGTCACCTGGAGCGCCTCCTGTGGGCTTGCTCTCCCTGGAAGGGGATGGGCAGTTGGGGCAGTGATTGAAGGGAGCTGGGAGGGGCTGGCCTGGGAATCCACAGCAGCAGGGGTCTGCAGGGCAGCTTGGGTTACGGAATGACTCGAGGTCGGTGGGCCTGTCCTGGTGGTGTTGGGGTGAGTGCTGTGATGTGTGGGGCTGTGTTCACCATCTCCCCTCCCACCTCAACCCCCATCCCTGAGGCTGGTCCCCGGCTCTATGCAGTTCTAGTTAGCAGATGCACTTGGGAGGGGCCAGGGCTGTGGTGGCTGTGGGGGTAGGAGTAGATTCAGCTGGTGGGGGGCTCCTGGGGGACTTGGGTTGGGACTGAGGACAGGTCTGGGAGTGGGGGCAATGCCTAGGTCGCTGGTGACCTACCTTCCACCCGGCGCAGCTCTGGAGGACCCGTCCCCGTATGGTGTGTGGGCATCGGGTCTGCATGCTCCCTGAGTGGGTGTGGTGAGTACCTGGCTGGGAGAGGGGTGTGTGTGCACGTGCTCTGGGGGCTGGGTGAATGCTCAAAGCAGGACTGGTGGGGGGCTCAGAGGTGGGAGGGCCCATGTGGCCTGGGGTGGAAATCGGGGGCTCTTCCTGTGCCATCTTGGGAGGAATTGTGTGTGGCACTGTCTCCTGGGGTAGCAGGACCAGTCTGAGGCAACAGGCCCTCACCAGGTCCCTGGTTCCTGGCGACAGAGAGCCAAGGAGGTGTGTGAGAACCTGGAGAACCCAAGGGAAATCCAGCTTGAGCCGGAGGTGCCTTTTCCCCTTCTATCTTCCTCTCCAGCCCTCAGCACACCACTGGGCTGTCTTCCTTAAGCTGGGAGTGTGTGTCACAGGCGAACCCTCTCCTGTCCTGCAAGGAGGGTTACCCAGCAGGGCAGAAGGGGCCTGAGAAGGTCATCGGGGACATCAGGGTGTGTCCCTGAACGTCTGGCACTTGGGGGAGAAGCTCTTCTCAGTGGTGCTGGTGCGCCTGTCACATACTCCCACACCAGTGCACACTCCTCCACGCCTGCTGTGCAGATGTACCTGCCTGTGTCGCACACACCTGCCCTGCCCACTGCTTACATGATTGTCCTACAAACTCCGTCTTGCCTGCCTGAAGCTACCTGCCACACACCTGTCACAGGCAGCTGGGTGACACAGCTGGCTCACTCACCTCTCTGTGACAGCACCTGGGCCATCAGTGCTCCCGTCCGCTGTTGGTTTTGAGGACCCTGAGGGTGGGGCTCAAACCCCGGGAGAGGCATTTCACCAGGTCCGAAGCTTACCCCCTTCAATCCCAAACTGTTTTGGAAGCTTCCTTTTCCTGCTGAGCAACGGTGCTGATCCCCTGGGCCCTCTGCCCAGTCCCTGGCCTGGTGTTGCCACGTTCCTGAGCTGTGTGACTCTCACCTACGCCTCTTGTCCTTGCAGCCAGGGCGGGGCTTAGAGTCTCAGCCTGTCCCCGAACCACCCCTTGCCGTCGCCCTGCCCAGCTCGGCTCAGCTCTCTCCTTCCATCCCCCAACCACTTGGTCAACTCTGACCCTGAGGACAGGGAATCACTGACCCTGGGGAGAGGGGCTCCCTCCGGGAGTGGAGGGGATCCCCCTGGCAGAGAGGCAGAGAGGGCTGTGTCTGCCATGGAGGAGATTAACCTGACCAGGCCTACACCATGCGAACTGGGAGGCAGAGAGATGTCGCTGACCTTGTCATGTGTGGGGGTCCGGGGCCACCCATGTGGACGTGGGGCCAGAGTCCTGAGGACACAGGGAAGACCACAGGAACCCTGGGTAGGGATGTGGGAGTCGCACTGCTAGGGGTCAGTGGGGAAAGACTGCATTTAGCTGTGACGAGGACCCCCTCCCCCCCTCCCTCCCTTTCCTTCTTTCTTCCTTCTTGCTCTCTCTTGTTTTTAAAAAAACATATTTAAAGACTTTATTATACTTGGTCTGACTGGGACAAAGAATAACTCACTGGCTTTTGAACTGAGCAACAGGGTGGATACACTGCCATTTCCCTGGAGGGGAAGACGCAGGAGAGCAGGTTTGTGTGGGAGTGTAAATCAAAAATTCTGTCTTGCCATTGGAGACGTCTGTCCCGTGGAGCAGGCAGTTGGATGTATGAGTCGAGCTCGGGGAGAAGTAAGGGAAGGAGATAGACATTTTGGAGCCATGGCTGAGATCACGTGGAAAGGATGAGAGCAAAGAGAAGGGGCCCCAGCCAAGCCCTGAGGGGCTCCCACATTTACCCCTGGCAAGGGGGATGGAGCAGGGCAACCAGTGAGGCGGGCTGGGGATAGGGAGAGGGTGGCGTCAGAGAAGCCTTGAAGAAGGGCTGAGGGAGGAGACGGGCTGCGGCAGGCGTTTTGGAAAGATGGGGATGACCGGTGACCTTGAATGAAGCCGTCTCAGTGCAGCAGTGGGGGAGACCAGGCCAGAGCCAGGGGGATGGGGAGCGGGAAGGAAGGGGAGGCATCAAGAGTGGCCAACTGTCTCTAGTGTCCCTGGGAGGGGTGCAGCAGTTGAGGGGGCTTGGGTCGGGGGAGTTCTTTTGGGATGCTGAGGCCTGTCTGAGGCTGCCTGCCCATGTATGTAAGAGCATGTACACCCCACATGGGCATTTCCAGGGTCGTCTTCCCCCGAGACCCCACTCTCCATGGGGTTGGGGTCTGTGACTGCAGTGGTCACAGCTGTACACAGCTCCTTGCCCAGCATGTGGTTCCTGAGGTGCTGCTGAATATTGGTTAAATGAGTGGATCGGTCCATGTAAGGCACTTAGTACACTGATAGGTGCATAGCAGATGCTCAGTAAAATGACTTACTCTTGTTGGGTGGGCTGTGAAGTAGCTGAAGACCTGGTGACAGCAGTTCTGGAGGCCTTGCTCTGGGCCGACCTGAGGCCATGGTACCGCCACAGTAGACTGGACCAGGATGGTGGCTC